TATTTTATTGCTTTCAAAATTTTGATTTCCAAAACCACTCAACGTATCTTATGACTTATCATACCCCGTAGCTCCTCGAGCGCTATTGTGGAGAGTTTTTTAACTGTTATTTACTGCTTACAGATGGACACAACATTTTCATTTATTCTCCATTCGGTAGTAGACATGTGTCAAATGTCAATCATTCATTTCTAGCGACTGATTCATTCTAGTACATTTCGTCACGCGTACTGGTACATTCGGATCGATCATTCAAATGGATCATTTCGGGCTCCAGTACTCTGTGAATCTGTGAGATCTATTGGGAACCGAAAATTTTCTATTTGAGATTTGTAGTAGCGCAATCTACTATATGGGTAATAAAATCATTTTATCTAACCAAAACTTATTAACTTTCAAGGTGATAAGTACAATCGACGCTAGATGGCATAAAGACAAAAACCTCAAGTTATTATATTATATTTGATAAATTTGTTTATTCTTAAATTTAATTCCTAACAATACACAATTTCATCTTACTTTACATGTCTAAAAATAGGGATAGTAACATTTACTTGCTACAAAATTAAACTTTTACCTATCTTATACTTACTTATATAAGGTGGTTGAAATAATGATTTCTTATATTTACGCGAACACTACACATGATTAAAACTAGTTGTACGGATTTTATCGCGTTTATTTTTGCTTTTAATTACTTTTATTTTTAATTCCCGACGTTTCGTTTTCGTTTCGAAAACGTTTCGTTTTCGTTTCGAAACGTCGAGAATTAAAAATAAAAGTAATTAAAAGCAAAAATAAACGCGATAAAATCCGTACAACTAGTTTTAATAAGGTGGTTGAAAATTATCATACTAAATAAATCATTTATCATGAAATCTTTTGAAGTGTTATTTTTAGTAAACTCAACGAAATTATATTTTTAACTCATAGATGTGACAAATAAATATCATGTAAAATAATTTTTAATTTTGGTAACAATATTGTAATAAACAACCCTTAAATAATAAATACTCTTGATATCTGTAGTCTGCATTGTTAGTTCGATTCGATTGTTTATTCAGATCAATCGGGATTCGGTCGGTTTGCGGCTTATTCGCAATTCAAATAAATCGCGGGTTAAAAAGGTAGCGTCAATTGTTTGTGATTGGTTGTATTGGTACTTTTAAGTGTACCAGCTCAACCCAACGAATCATGAAAGATTGACACATGTCTATTCGGTAGAATCCACTATAAACAAAGTTGGGCGTTATAACATACAACAGAAAATATATTCCATTATATATTTGTAATCTTACAACACATTAGAATAATGAACCATTGACTGTTATAATATATTCATTATCGTTAGAAAGCATCATCTATTTACGTTTACGGTCCAGCCGTCGGCCGAGAAGCGGCACCTAATGGGAGTCAATAAAATACTATACGTATAGCTTACACTAATTTAAACTCTAAGCTAACTTAATAAGAGCTTATTTTACTAACACTAAATTTTAACGGTAAACAAAAATATATTATTTCCTTTATTGCTAGCTGTTGCCTGTTGTGCCTGTTATTTAATTTTTTGGCTGTTGCAATATATTAGTGTTCAGTTAGCTGTCTAGCTGAGATATCAATGACACTGTTATCTGTTAAATTATATAATATACGTAATGTTTTGATAGCAGGTCTCTATATTACGTGAAAAATCTATTGTTGTTTTTGTTTATTTTTCGTAAAGATTTATTCCTAAAGTAATTTTAAATATTTAGTGTAATATAGATAGGATTTAGCGTGTGGTATATAAAAGTGTATAGTAATGTCGCGCCAGCTTAGCTCAGCCATTTGAAACTATTTTATAGTCCAAAGTGTGGACGAAAAAAAAGCAGTGTGCAATTATTGCAAAAAAACTTTATCTTTCAAAAGTACAATTACAAATTTAAAGCTTCACCTTAAGCAAATACACGTAGTAGTGTATGAAGAGTTTTGCCGTTCGGATTTAATATCGGATAGACGCACAAGGCTTATGTCGTCAAAAGTAAACCAAATAATTTTTTGAATAGTAACTGAAAAAAATGTAAATAATGGTAGATAACTAAAACTTTGACCACAGTGTAAATAATGTAAAAACTCAATCAAAATGTACATAACATCAATGAGCTTCTAATTACGCCTGAATGAGTTAATTTTCTTAAAATGTTTGAAAATATGAGTAAATAATTATAACAGATACAATTATTACACAGCTTATCATACATTCAGACAGTCCTAAGCTTGTAAAAAGTAGGAAGGGAAGTTCATTGAAATTAACATACATATTTTAAATGATTCTCTTTTAAAACATGAAACACACAAATTATATACAACTTAAAAATATTTTTTGTCTTCATATAATACTTATAATCTTTTAATGTTTTTAATCGTAATAATCTTTCATCATAATATTTATAATCGTTATAACAACATACAACAAAACGCTAACACAGTCGACAACTGAACTGAACTAACCGCGTGTACATTTGAAACTGTTATAATATATTATAACAGTTTAAAACAACAGTTAGAAAAATATATTACAACAACATAACGAATTAGAAAAATACGAGTATAACAGTTTCGCCCACCTTTAACTATAATAATAACTAATATAATTATAGTTACAGTCAACCAAATCTAAGAAATACATTTTGACATCTGTCAGACTTTTAGCACCAGGCATGCCAATCAAAAAATGGGAACGTACAATATTCGATTCTTAAAAAAATCGATATCGATTATTTAGAGTTGGTAATCATTTACAGTTTGGTTTGAATAATACCAGAATTAATTAAAAACATATAATTTAAAACACAAGATTTATCAATTTCTACGTATTTGTTGTTACTGCTTATTTCTAGAGGCATAGTTATAAAAATTTAAGATTAAAACTAGATTAAAAATAAATTTATTCAGTCACTTTCAGTACTAGTTAAGCTGTCGTTGTTTAGATTAATTTTTTTTCAATAATGCAGTCAAAATTAATGTCTTTATCAAAGTCATCCATAATAATTCTTTTTGTTTTTTTTCTACAACTTTTGTCCAATGATCCTTTGTGACAGGGGCACATGCTTCAACGAATATAGAAGAAACAGTCCATAATGTTAAAACCAAGTCACAAAATAAGAAGACAAACAAAAAATCACAAAATTACGCACAGTAGCGGTGGGTAGTAGCGGCTTCTTTGAGTAACGAAACGAATCTATCTATCGAATATCAATAGCGGCTTTTGAAACACTCTATTTTAATAGAGGGTTTGGAAACATTCTATTTTAATAGCGGCTTCAATAGAGTGTTTCACGACGTGTTCAATTGCAAAACGTTGCGACCGTTGTTACCGTTTCGTATAGAATTAGACATGGTGTTAATGGTTAAATTTATTTATTTGTTAAATCAGTTCGCACGGTTTGATAAAAATATCACTTCGAAGTACACTGGCATTACTTCGAGACATTTTTGATAACAATCACATAAAGTTTTAGTATTATTTTTACACTTAGTTATTTACACTAATTACTGTAGAATTATTATTATCAACACTAATATATACAATGATATTTAGTTTTTATTTTACTAAAAATATTATTATTGTTGCACAAAAAGGAAACAAACGCGCCTAAAAAGTAAAAACAAACCGTGTCATTAAACTTAAACAAAAGACTAATGTAAACCGGGCCAAGGCCACTTAAATTATGGTATTTGAACTATTTTTTTGTTAAAAACATGTACACTTACTTTCTCATTTCTAATATCGCATCTATACGAAGGAAATAGAGTCATAGGTCAAATGCAAAAGCACACGCGCTCACTCGACTTTCGACAACCGGTGGTACTTCTACCACAGCGTAAAAAAGTCGGTTTTTTTACTCATGTGCTTCTACTTCAACAGCCGAAGACGTCGCCGACGCGTCGCGAAAATAGCCGAATAAACGTTTTGTTAGTGATCGCTCGTTCGTGATTCGTGAAACGTGAATCGTGTTACTGAGTAAAACGTCTACTGTAATAGATAGTTTCGTTGCACTGCAATAACCCGCTACTCGCTATTGTGTGAATAGATAGTTTCAGTAACTAGTTACGTTTCGTAACGACCACTCCTAACGCACAGTAAACTCCCGAAATGGCGGATATTGAAATTACGTTGTGGGTTTTTTTGCCTACACAAATTTACGTTGACTAATTAAAAAAATAAACTTGTTTTGAAATAATACTAGTTTTTACGGATTTTATCGCGTATATTTAACTATAAATACCCGACGTTTCGAGCGCTTTACAGCACCCATGGTCACAGGGAGGACTGAGATGTACAACGTCCAAATGTCATAGTTAACAGTGGTTACCATAGATATTTTTTATTTTTTTAAATTTTAAATTTGAGTTGCTCATCTATCTCTAGTATATAGTTAGTAATCTATGTACTAGACAATACACTGCGTTGTATTTCGGAACATCATACTCTTTGTGTATGTAAAACCTGACCTGATCACCATTAGTGCATAGATAAATAAATATGTAGCAAGCTACATTAGTGAACCATTAGCATTCTGCATTCAGCACGGAGTACCTTTGTATAAACTGCCCATCAGCATCGGCATCAGTGAATCAGTGATGACCAGACCAGTGACCAAAGATAAGCTAGTATAATCGGGAGGTGATCACTGATCAGTATATTTCTTTTTTTCCGTGAAGCTTATATTACAATGTTAAGACCAAGCAGTAGATATCTCCTAAAAAATTATTGTTTTGTGTTTAGAACACATACACGATCATTTTTAACAAATGAATACAAATGTGAGGAAGCATGGGATGCACAAAAGTCATCGAAATTACTAAATACTGTGAATTTAAATGATTTTTTTACTACGTTAACTCAAAATTACACATCAAAAGGTGTTATCAGCGCAATCGATGTAGATGTATTTGCTAACGCTATAAGAGATTCTACATATCTTGATGAACTGAAAGAACTTTTACACAAACTGAGAATGTCAGCCGAAACTGGAAATATGCTTGATTCAACACACCATGCTACAATCAGAAACTATATTAAATTTGGAAACATACAAGATTTAGTTAACATACTTCGAGATCCTTTAAATTATGGTATATTTTTGGATAACTTCACGGCTAATATTTTATTGGATAAGCTAGTTACATCCAAAAATTATGAATTAGCAGCTAATGTTGCAGCTTTAACAATGTTGCAAGAGGAATACTCAAATGAAATAACTTGTGCTCTGAGTCAGTATGCCTGCTATAAATATTTAATAGAATGCAGTGACATAAATCAAGAACCAGTAAAAGCAGAAGACAAAAAGAAAGAAGAAATAAAAATAAGAGTAAAATTTCTCAGGAACTTTTATTATGATGATCATTTTGACATTAAAGAAATATCCATTCTTTCTGGTAAGACATTAGCTTGGATTTCAAGGCAAAGCAATGACAACATTGCTAGGAATTTGCAAATTATAGGTTGGTTATATTACAAGAAGTATGACCAACTGTTATCTCTATGTGAAGTGTTACACAAAATAAAATCATTTAAAATCTACAATGAAGTAATAGAGTTGTTGCAAAAACAATCTGATAAAACTGAAGAAGGGAAGCATATTTTTGATAGATGTATTTCTTTACTAAATGAATGTTCAAAGGCTGAAATTCCACTGGAGGAATCTGTAAAGAATTTAATTGAAAATGCTATTAATAAGTCTCAAAAAAATGATATACTAATGCAGCAAAAGGTTAGTATATGCTTTGAAATTTAATTTTGTTTTTATTCTAATGCTGGAATAAAATGGTTTTATAATTTTAATATTATACACAAATATATTACATACCTAGTATGAACATGTGCAAGATTAATAGAGATGGGCCGAATATTGATTTCACCGAATACGATTGGGCCAAAAGTTCGGTAAAACTTTTATCAAATTGAATTTTATTTAGCGGGATCACCTTGGTATCTATCCAATTTATTTCAAAACTTGTTGCCATAAACCGCACCGTATTAGCGCCGGACCCTGCCCTATGCTCCCCCGCCACACCTTAAATATTATTACATTATCTAGTACTGAGCAAATTGCTGCCACATGCTTATGTTTTAACTATTTTGGTGAGAAAAAAAGTATTTCGTTGTGTTATTCTTAGTGAAAATTGATAATTATATGATAAAGATGAGTGGCAGATGAAACGAAGAGATTCGCAATATGTCAGGATTGAAAGATGACCTTATCACAAAAATTGATAAGGGCGTACTCCAATGGTTTGGGCACATTGAGCGAATGAGTGAAGACCGAATGGTGAAGAAAATATATAGAGCGAAAGTAAATATTAAAAGGTGTCGAGGTAGACCGAGACTAACTTTCGAAGACCATGTGAGCAAATTGCTCGAAGAGGGGAAGGTCAAGAGTACTCGGATACCTAGACGTGCATGTATGAAGAAGTTAATGAACCTGAAAGAAGCGAAAGAGGTATGTAAGTATCGTGACACTTGGCGATGTGTTCTCTCTGGCTACCCCGTTAGGGATTGTGCGTGAAGATAAGTAGGTAAGTAAGGCAGATGAACTACTGTTTGGACTTATTTTAGAGAAACTGACGACCAAAGTAAAGTTATATACTGTACTTGTGTAATATAATTTTTCTTTGTTTGATTCCAGAAATATTTTATCAAGCTTTCTTTTTGCTATAATTGTAAATAAATCTACATTGCCTCAAAAATTATACATTTCAAATAGATTTAGCCCATGAATGAAATATACTTTAACAGTAAAATTATAAGACATGGTATTACTCAATTCGTACATTTCAATACAGTGGACACTGAGTACCACTTAAACTAATGTTCGGTGATTTAATGTAAAGCTGCCGAATACCGAATATGAAATGAATATTAGGCCCATTTCTATACTATCAAAATCACTATTTGTATATAATTATTCTACTATTATCTAGTACACTATTTGCTTATATTTATTGCATGTTTATGTTATTTCTTCAATAGTAAACACCATCATGGCTATCTAATACTGCCAGGGCAAAAAAGTTTCATATTTTACTTATTTTGTGTTGAAAAACTTTAATTAAAAGGTTTTTCTCACCTAAGTTATAATATAACATTAGTGCTAAAAGCGAAATGTAATAAACTCGTTTGAATATGGGGGTTCCCAATTTTTGTAAATAACAAAAACATTAATTTTGCAACAAAATCGAATGAAAACACTCAAAACTACGTGTAAATTAAAATTTCTCGATACTCTGATGTTTTCAGCAATAACAAACAAGAAAACACTAAATATAAGATAAAATGGTTTATATAATGGTATTGTTGTTGTCAAACCACACATGTTTTTATTGTTTTCTCGCAATCCTGTCCACTCAAAGGCTGTATGGAAGAGATTGCTTATAGCGATAAGACAGACCTTTGTACCTCATTTCTTTTTTCTCCTTCCTTTGTTCATATTTATATGCTTTTGGGTGTAGAATAGTGTTATCTATCTATCTTCAGTGGCCATCAGTCATGTTTCTGTCCCCTCTGATCCACAGTGGTCCATGATGCTCTATGAGTAGTTACATTGATCCTGCTAATTTTAGACATTTCTATACTGCCAACACTCAGTTTTTTTTTAAATGTTAAGGTTTCTTAATTGTGACTGTAAGAAAGATTAGAAGCCTTACTTATGTTAAACAGCTAGATTAGTTTATTTTAGTTGTTTCTTTTATAGGGTAATGCGACTGACATTGAAACTATCATTGATTTGCAGAAGGGAGCCATAAGAGCTATTTATAATATTAATACGAAGGGGTCTCATAGAGAAAAAATAAAAATCTGTCTTTTCCCTCTCGATATATAATTTATCCTAAACAAGCATGTACCATATGTAGTACCGGGCATAGCCAGGGTTACCTTGTTATTAGGGCATAACAAATATATCAATATATATTAATGAACTATTCTAATACTAATTATGTTTTTATAATTTATTACATTTTTTTAGTTATATGGAATATGGATAAATACAAGAGAGAAAAAATTGAAAGAACAACTACAGAGACTTGAGAGAGCTCGACGAATGGAGGCAATTAACTTGAAGCAAAAGGAACTAGAAGGAGAGGAACAAAAACTCTGGTTCTTTGAAAATGAAGACAACATTGATCTCCAAATTGAGGAAAAAGAAAAACTGGTAGATGCTACAGTCAACAAGAAAAGTGAACAGAACAAATCAGATGAAAATTATATTCCACCTGAAATATTACCTAAACGTAAATAATTTAAGTGTTAAAAGAAATCATTAAAAGATGTTGACATTTAATTTATTTATACTACATTAAAATCCATTTCTAAACATCAAAGGTAGAAAAAGCAGAGGGCTTTGACTGTCACATAACAGGGATTGCCAGTCACTAAAGTAATCAGTTGGCAACCGCAGTTTTCAATTTTCTAGTTGTTATTTGGAAGACCCTCCCAGAAATGAGAGGAGACCTGTGCCCAGCAGCAGGACCTATATAGGCTGTAGCTTGCAAGATTTATTAGCAAGACGCTGCTACCAATCTCCTAGTTTGTTTTCATCTGTCAACTCTAACGACACCCACGAGGCGATATGGGGTAGTGGTAATTGCAATGTCTACACTGTCAGAATAAAATAAATTTTATGATTATATACTAGATTTTTGAAGCTTTGTAAGGTCAATAACTCAAGTGTGACGCCGCACAGAACCTACACTCAATCTTGGATTAATCATATTATGGAAACAACAATTGCTATTTTTCCAAAAAAAACGCTTTGTTTGAATAAAATCACAGATTCTGATACAAGTGCTCTAACTGGATGCAGGCTGTTTAATAAACATCTATGCAGTATAAGATTATAGGTTCCTCTGCCTGATTGCATAGATGGAAGAGACAGCAGCTCACATCCAGTAGTATTCCGCTGTTGCCTAGGCTGGGCTAGGTACGGCGTACCGGGGTTTCTCCCCAGGATCTAAATAATTTATTTCACAAACCACGCAGAACATATAATTGTTTATCACATTTAGAGTGAAAGTTTGAAAAAAAAGTTTGAAAGTTCAACTCCTGAATACCTTCCTAGATCGATTATTAGTAACTAATAACCGATCTAGGAAGGAAACACGCGCCATTCGCATGTGAGGGTGCACATGTGCATTATGTATAAAATATACTGGTCATCAAAAAATCGACCCACCCATTTTTTGTTTGAAATTTATCGATTGTTTCACTTAAAAGCTGTTTCACACATTTGTTTTTTATTTTGAGGGTCTGATATAATGTTTGACACCTTGTTTGTCGTAAATCTTATTGCACTTGATGGTACTTTACAATTTTTTATACAGAAATACTGTTGAGTGCTGATTTCGTTGTTTTACGTCAGAACAAATTCGAGCCGTTATTTCAGTCCGACACAGACTTTTGTAGGGATTTCTCGTTAATAACGTTAAGTTTATTTACTGAGGCTGTAGCTTTAATTACTTTGTCTAAAAATAATGGACACTACTGAAGCTGAGGCGGCCCAAGTTGTGGCTTTGCTGCAACAAGGCTTAAGTCAACGTGTCGTGGCCAGGAGGTCAAATCTGAGCCGTTCTGCAGTGCGACGAGTTTACCAAAGGTTTCTGGAGACTGTGCAGTATCGAAGAAGATCTGTATCTGGAAGACATAGGGTGACAACTCAAAGGGATGACCGATTTATAGTGTTATCAGCTCTACGAAATCGGCACATATCTGGTGTTGATCTCTAGCGACGCTTACGTGAAGATCGAGGTGTAGCTATAAGTGATAGTACAGTGAGAAGGAGACTTCGTGAGCAGAATTTAAGACCTCACAAGCCAGCAACAAGACCACAATTGACCACAGCTCATCGACAAGCCAGACTTCAATTTGCGCGTAACCACATCAACTGGACTATATGCCAATGGGAGTCAGTTCTTTTTAGTGATGAGAGTCGAATGACTTTATACGGTTCTGACGGACGCCGTAATGCCATGCGACGACCAGGTGAACGTTATACCCAGTGTTGCATAAGAGAAACTGTCAGTTATGGTGAAGGGTTTGTAATGTTTTCGGCTGGAATATCTTTGACTGGACGCACTGAGCTTGTTTTCATACGAAGAGATGTTTTAACTGCAGCACGCTACACCACAGAGATCTTAGAAGACCATGTGGTGCCATACGCCGGCTATATTGGAGAGACCTTTGAATTAATGCATGATAATGCACGACCACACGTAGCGCGCATCACAACCGATTACCTACCCACCTAACCGATTACCTTCAAGGGAAGAGGTCGGCATTCGGGTTATGTCGTGGCCAGCAAAAAGCCCTGATCTCAACCCTATAGAGCACATGTGGGACACCCTAAAACAAAAGGTTAGAGCCCGTAATCCAATCCCTACAATATTTGGAGACCTTGAAACCGCCATTAGGGAAGAATGGAACCAAATCCCTCAAGAGACCATCAAAATCTTGATAAGGTCATTAAAACGGCGAATGCAGGCTGTCATTCGAGTAAGAGGAGGGAATACGCAATATTAAATTGCAACAATTGTGTACATAAAATTCAATACATAAAAACCAGAGCGTATTGAAAATTAATAAATATAATCGTGACAAATTAAAGATTTTGGTTTTTAAATGAAAATTACTTTCAAAAAATTATTTTGATGTTGTAACTGTGATTAAATTGGTGTAAATAAACAAGTTAAATAAAACATTTCAGTACTTAAACGTTTTGATTGGTTCTGCTTTAGAAAAACGTGATTTGCGGCAAAAACGCAGGTGGGCCGATTTTTTTGATGGCTAGTGTATAACCGGACACTATTTGGCAAAATCCTGACAAGTCTCTTGCTTCATACAGATGTATTATGTCCAGGCTAATCTTCGAAACTGAAACGATTGTTACTCTCCGATGGAAATATGTTTCATAATAATGACAAACCTACGAACAGATAGAAAGCGGTGCCAGGAGTAAGCCTCCCCCATAGATTGTCTAATAGGGATTCTCCTTGCAATAGTTGCCACGCTTGGCAAGTGGGTTGGCACCAGCAGTTTTTTTTATTTGTTATTAACAAGACGCTGCTGCCCGTCCTCTGATGTTTCCCTCTGTCGCCTCTTACGACACCAATGAGATGATATGGTCTAGTTTATTTTTACAATTTATTTGTTTTGTATCAAAAATAAAGAAAAAGTTATAATTAAAATGCTTGCGGGCACTTCCTCTATTATTTATTGAGAATATTATACCAAATTTTATTGAGCAAGCTCAGTGCTTCCTCGGACTGCGCTTTTTGCTGAAGCCTAATATAGCCTGTGGGTAACGATCAGAACGATGGTGGATCAGGCCCTGTAGCCAGGACGACAGCTAATGTATACTATTATAATTTAACACTAGCAAGGCGGCAGGGGTTAGATGACCCGAATTTGAACTAGTAGCACAGATTATTTTGTCACTATTTGTTTAATACAGTTTTGTACCTCTTGACTTTTAATGATTTACCATTTTTTTTATAAACAAAGTATTCATATAGTAATACACATATGAATAAAAATAGCATTCTCATACAACAATGGCTAGGGTCATTTGACCTATTCAAAAGATGAATTAGTAGCTTTTGTGAGCAGGATATTACTTTAATTTTATTTATTGATACACATAATATTTTAGAATACATACCTACATAATATTTTAGCTTATTATACGTTCATTACTTTACGCGTTCTCATTGAGTCAATTTTTTATATTTTTGGTTGACATTTCGTAAAAATGTCTAAGTGTATCATTGAAACAGAAATATTGAGATTATTGCAATCGTTGCCTTGCTAGAAGATCAATCGGATAGTGATGGTGAAGGTGTATCATTACCAGGAGTTCTCTATATCTAAATCTATACTTGATAATGGCTCGGAAGTGGCGGATCGCCGAGGAAGTCGTAATGTTGTGACTGAACAGCCAGAACCTACTGTTACTTTACATAAAGGCATGTAAGAGAGAAATTGATGATAGCCTGGAAACTTTTGATCCATCGTCATGCATCTTATGGAACCATTTTTGAATAAAGTTAGAAATATGACTACAGTAATTTTTTCACATTTGTATTTCTCGCACAGAACTTGCTTCCAAGACTATCGAATTATATTACTAGCGTACGTAATACCTATTGAGGTACCTACGTAATAGCTATAGCGTACGTAACGCCTATTCTGTGGAGCCAAGTCTGTGGTATCGGCTTATCGCTCATTTAGCACCACCCGGGGGACACGTGTAGGGTGGGCCTAGGAATAGGTGGTCAAAGCCTACGGACGCGAGCGACTTATCCCCCCATATGTCATAAATATTGAATGATTAATAATGAAGAAGACTGAAATTGAGACTGAGATTTATTTAATTGTTGTTATTTCGTTAGAACTTAAGAAGATTTTATGGCAAACGATAAAAAACAATGTTTGACTTTAAAAAAATGTTTTACTAAGACAAAAAAATAAGGGTGTCCGATCTTTTCACCAAAATGTCCGGCTAAGCTTGCTGGTCTGTCCGGCTTTTCGGTTTTAAGACCTGGCAACCCTATGCATGCCTAGTGTTTTACGTATAAACACAAACTAATAAGAGTACTAACGTACGTATAAAGTACAATGAGTTTGATAGCACTTCGTCTCTTTTTCAACTCAGCAGCATTTCTGAGGCCACAAAATGTTACAGTGAGGTCTCAGGAGTTGGTTCTTTGAAAATGTTACTCAGGTTGACCGTTGAATTGTAGAATAAATTATATTTTAGTTGTAAATTTTTTGGTGTATCACCAAGACCTAAAATATTGCCTAGCTATTAATAAAAAAATAACATATGGTATTTCGCGTATGATGGAATTCATGTTTGGTACGATGGAATAAATATCACATCTCCCTTTGTTTATAGTACTAACCAAAAATGTACGTCTTGAACCAATAGGTGTTACGTACCTCAATAGGTATTACGTACGCTAGTAATATAATTCGATAGTCTTGGAAGCAAGTTCTGTGCGAGAAATACAAAGGTGAAAAAAATTACTGTAGTCACATTTCTACCTTTATTCAGAAATGGTTCCATAAGATGCGTGACGACACTTAGACATTTTTACGAAATATCAACCAAAAATATAGAAATTGACTCAATGAGAACGCGTAAAGTAATGAACTTATAATAAGCTAAAATATGTAGGTATGTTAACCAAGATCAATAAATAAAATTAAAGTAATATCCTGCTCACAAAAGCTACTAATTCATCT